TATATATATGTGTGTGTGTGTGTGTGTGTGTGTGTGTGTACTAAGTGAAATCTTTAGTATTTATGACTACATGTTTTGTGCCTTAATGAGATATTCTTAAAACAAAAAGCCTTTTAAATTCACACATGCTCAGGCATACACTTGTATATGTTGGAGAAGCACTTGAGAAAAGAGATGCCTAGAGTTTAAAGCAACTTCAAATTCTTTGTAAATCATTTGAAATTCTTTTGTAAATCGTCATTTAAAATTTCAGATGACTTTTCATTTCTCTGAATATTTAGACCTCATTACTAAATTACAGATTATTTAACTGAGCAGTACAAGGGACATTGGATAACATCTTTATCCAATGTGATGTTATTGAGCACCTTTTTTGAATTTATTTCTATTTTCTTTTTTTTTATTTTGTCTTTAGAAAAATGGGTGTGTAAGTAAAAAGGACGTGTTTTGAATGCAGGCATAATTGTCTAAATTATCTCATTTTGAGGCTTGATATTTTTTTCGTACTTTAATATATCCATTATTTATTAATTCATATACACAATTTTAATATTTATAATTTTGACCCCAACAAATTCAACAATCCCCACAGGCTTTTGAACCTAAACTAAATTAAAAATGAGATCATGCCAACCAAATAAACTTACTTGACGTTAGGATTTAAAACATAACCTTTCTCACCAATACAACTCTTCTATATTATCATCCATGTCAAAATAAAAACAACAAATTAATAAAAAAATGCATTAATTGCTTGATTTTATGCTTCTGAAGAGTATAATATTAAGAGTGACATCAAATTTATGATATTAGTTAGCGTTTAAATAGGGTTTACAATGAGATCATTAAAGTTTTAGTCTTACAGCTGATTTACTTATGAGAATTCAACATTTTATAATCAATTAATAAATTAATAAGCCATATTAATTAATAGTTAACTATTTATTTTTTTTGTTAAGAGTAATTTTGAAATTTATTTAAGATCCCTAAGATTTTAGTAGTGTATAATTATGGTTCTTTAATGATGCTATAATTTTGATTTTATAAATTTATTTATTTATAAATAAATGTTAATTAACTTAAAATTAATTATCATAAAAAAGGCTTTGATTTGTTAAAGCTTAAATTAGGTATAATTAAGATTATTAGAACTTGCATATTATTAATTATATATTAAACTTTTAATTATTTTAGTTTGATACAGATTAATTTGTCATTTTTTATTCATAAACGTGTTTTTTCTATTTTTCATTTTGAAAATAGGAAATAAGAAACATTTTAGGGATTAGAATTTTTTGTTTACATAAAGTAAAAAAAAACAATACAAAAAGAAAAAATAAAAAAAATCAAATGTCATTAAATTATTACATCTTTTGTTGTTGATTTGTATTGCTAACATGTGTTTTTTTGGGCTTTCTCAAGATTTGTTTTAAATATTGCATTATGAATTTATGACGCATGGCTCATCTTTTCTTAATCTGTTCAAAACATTTAAGCTTTACTTATTAGCATAATAGTCATCTTTTCCACTATAAGAGGAAGTTTACTTGTTCTGTCATATCAATTTAATTGTGTTTTGCCCATCGAAGTATGGATTTTTAATAGGAAAAATCTTAACCAATAGCATATAATATTGATCTTTTGTTTTTGGTGCTTATTTGAAGATGAGTTTATCCATTTTGTCGAATTTCTTTTTTATTTGTATCCCAGTAATTAAATAACGAGATCATTTTAGCCTTTTGTGTTTGATTCTTATGTTCATATGTATTATGTGCTATTTTCACCTTTAGCTAATTTTGATTTTAAACCAGTCATATGAGTGAATCCACTTTGGTTTACGTGGAGATATTGTGCTTTCCAGGGAAAGTGAAGGTGAATTTCAATATGGAAACTATCGCAAGGAAGCTGAAGACTTACGAGCTGTGGTGCTATATTTCTTAGAGCAAACTTTTAATATTTGTGCTATTATTGGGCATAGTAAAGGTCCGTGGTCAATCACATTGTTGATATGATTTTAAACAAACATACTTGATTTATGGATGTTTTGTCTCACAATTTGACTTTACTATATGAAATTTTTCATTATATATGGAGGACAAGACTTGAAGACAACTAAAATAGTTTATGAGAAGTTTCAATGTTAGATCCTATAATTATTTATACAAAATAATTCAACTCATGAAGGATATTTTTTAGCTGAATAATTTATAAGTTCAGCATGTATTTATTCAATTATGCTGTTCATTAAACATATATATAAATATATATATATATATATATATATATATATATCATGGAGGATAATATTGAATGGGTTTAATAATTCGTAAGGTAAGAGGCATCTCAAAACTAATACCACCTTACGAATTAGTTCATTAAACATATATATTTATACTGAGCATGTAGGTACATGGCATTCTCTGCCTTTTGAATGGGTTTTGAGTGGCCTCTTACAAGTTTTATCAACAATTTAAAATTTTTGTGTTGTTTAAAAAAACACTTCAGATCTGAACTTTAATTATTAGTTGGTCAAGTTTTTTTATTTTTGTAGATAATAAGCTTCATTTAGTAATTTAGCTCATTGCTAAAATTCAACGATTGTATTTTCTTCGTATGATTGATTGATTGATTTTTTTAAAATGTAAGTGTTCAAGAAAAACATATGCTTTTCGGTTAACATGCTACTATCATTAATATAATTATGAGGTTGATTGTTGACCCATCAGGGTTGAACTTGAGACCTTGCAAATTGAGCGTCATTAACCCAATATATGTCGTATGATGTTGAGGAGAGAGGTCGTGAGGCATGCTTACATTGCATATAATTTGAGGAGGTGCTCCTATTGGTCTCATCATTATTTTGGTTATAATTGTTTGAAAATCTGGAGTACACTAAATTTTTTTTAGCACGCTAATACACATCAAGTTATCATAACACAGTGATGTTAGTAAGGCATTATAAAACATAGGGACTGCATAAGATCACTTGGAGTCCTATTTTTTGGATATACCAATATGTATTTTGTGGATTGACATGAGATTAATATTATAGACGAAAGAAGCCGACGAATGTAACATCTGAGCTCTGGGCTTGAAAATTATTCTAAATTTTAGTTTGTCACTAACAATTTATAATCCAAATAAATCGAGAGAGCTACTAATAAAAGTAATTTAAATTAACTTAAAACTAAAATCAGTTGTGAAGAAAATTATATCTCTAGTTTGAGTGCCTTTTATAAATTTTTTATATTGTGTCACTCTTTTTTTAGTCTAATGTTTCACTTGAAAAATATTAGTTTACAATAGTGAATTATTAACAACTTAGTGAATTCTCATATTTTTGAAGTATAATATAATCAATCTGTATAAAAATAAAATTTGGTTTATTATTCAATTATGATCATTCAAGAAGGTTCAATATGTTTTGTTCAATATTGTTAACATCCCTTGCAGAAATACTATCTAAAATTTGTATCTGTTAAAGTACATCAATATCACTATTCTTATTCAGTTCGTGGTCGATTATCTTAGTGTTCCTAGCTAGTTTCCTAAGGGAGAAAGCTCCATAAGTTAATATGCAAATACTGACATTTTATGTAGTTAATATCTTTCATTTTATTATGTTATTTGGTACATAATAACTATTTGATAAAGTTAATCATGGAAAAATTTCCAATATTAATGTTGATATATGACCATTATTATAAAGAAATAGATGAATCAAAATAAAATATTGAATAATTAAACATTATCTATAATTAACCATACAAGTGATTTAGAAGAAATAAAAATGCTTTTATAACTTAGAAGTTAAAGTACTCATCTTGATTTTTAGAGATTTGATTCTCAACCTTTATTGCTAAGTCTTAGCTTCCTTTAATTTTGATTCCTCTCTTTATTACTAAATTTTATCCTCCTCTAATTTTGATACTTATAGAAATTTCTTATATTAATTAATTTATACATAATTGATCTATTTTTTTATATACTATTATTATTTTTTAAATGTCCAACCAAATTCTTTCCATAAACTTATATTACAAAAATTCCAATATTCACAATTCCTTAATGCTATTACACATTTTGATTTATACTAAGATTTTAATATTTCTAACTTATAGGCTAAATTTAAGTTCATTATTTTATTTTATTATTATTATTTCTAGTTAATAAAATTTTGTATTTTAATTTTATTAATAATAATATTTATCTTTGAATAACTTTATTTTTCCTAGATTATACTTGCACGTTTTAATAAAATCTATTACAGAATATCCATTAATAACTTGTATTCACCACATATATATTATTTAAAACTTCTATTTGTTTTTCTAACATAATTTTAAGAAATAAACCAAGAATAATGTATAATCATTCAAAATATTATAATTTTAAATTAATATTTCATATATGTGTTCTTTATGATCATTCCATAAAACCAAGAAGTCCATTTTAATTCTACTATTATAGTTATTTAGCATTGTCATTGCTAGTCCCAAGTCTGGAGGGGGTGAGAGGGTGGGGGGGGGGGGGTTGTGTTAAGTAATCGACAACCAGCGTAAAATTTGTTGAAAAAATTATGCATGAATCATTTTGATCATTGTGTAAGTGCTAGGGCGTCTACTGGAAGGGAGCTGTATGACCTAAATAGAGTGAAAAGTGTGCAAGGGTCGTTACGCTAACGCCGGGGTGTAGTGTCAAATAAGCAAGGATTTTCACATTACGGACGGATGCGGACAAATAAATTAGTCTATGAAACTAATAAGACTAATATAACTAATAAGACTAATATTAGGATAGTATTTTAGAATATATGTACTCTCAATGGTAAATTAATGGAATTAGTTGGCATTATGATTTATAAAAAGATTAATATCTTATAAACTCAAGAAACTAGATGGGTTGGAGAAAATGTTAAAGAGATTGATAACTTAGATTTTAAACTTTGGTATTCTAGTAAAAGTCACACAAGAAATGGTATAAGTGTAATTATAGATAAGAGTTTGAAAGATATAGTATTAAAAATTAATAGAGTTGGAGATAAAAGAGTTGGAGATAAAATTAGAGCCCTTAAGATTATTATTGATACTAAGATTTTTAATATTATAAGTGCTTATGCTCCTTAAGTAGATTAGATATATGGTCTAAAGATGAATTATAGCCCTTATTCTCTCTATCTCTCTTTCTGTCTCTCTCGATTTTATAAAATTCTTTCAGGAGTGCTTCATTAGGTATGACCTGCGCTAGTTGGTTTGCGTTCTTCACCTTTAATATCTCTTGTAGTAGTGAAGTAAAGATTGGATGTTTGAATTAAAGAATGTTTAGATGCATTGTTTTCTACTCTTCTCTTCTGGCGTATACTGCATACTTCTTTCTTTTTAATATTTTATTGGCATTGAAAACTACTGGAATTTTAGATAGCATACATTCAATAAACAAATTTCAGTTGTAAATGCTGCCATTACAACTGAGTGTTCATATCTGAAATCTGAACTCAGTGAAACACACTGCAAATAGAACAAATTTTCTTTCACAACGACTTGTAAATTTTTATTTTAAAATGAACGTTGTATAATCTAGATAATCATTTTGCTTGATGTTTGTGGTATGTTGTAAGGAAGGTTTTGCTTTATCCATCATCAATCTGGATAGGAGTTTATTCTGATAAATTATGAGACATTATTGCTGGTTCCATTCGTTTTTATGCCAATGCAGTCTCTTAAACATTTAGAGTTAGGTTACCTCTTTATCATTGACTACATGATGTATTGTCTTCTATTGTGTGGCCAGGTTTCTGAATGTATTTAAGTTTGTTTCAACTTGGTAGCCCTAACAACTTAAAAATTACTAGCCCAAACTTCAGCTGCTAATTCTCTACCATTTGTTCTTTGAAGAAATTGAAGTTTTGAAGCAGTAACTAACAAAGTTTCTATAGGTGGAAATGTGGTGCTTCTTTATGCTTCTACGCATAATGACGTCCCTCTCATCATTAATCTTTCTGGCCGTTTTGCATTGGAAAGAGGCATTGAAGGACGCCTGGGGAAAGCATTCATGCAAAGAATAAAGAAAGATGGCTTTATTGATGTCAAGGATAAAACAGGTGTGTTCTGAGTATAATTGCTTGAAGCGCTTAAATATTATTTTGCTTGAAGTTAACGTGCCATGATCTTGTGCGTGGATGTGTAAATGTAGTGGTAGCTGAGGCTTGTGGGTGTGCTTTCACAAATATTTTGTTTTTCGTTGGCGATTGTATGGCCTTGCATTGGTATTTGCTCTCTTTTTATGCATGTTGATGTTTTTGCTTGTTCGTGCAATTGATTTTTGGTGTATTCAAGCAGGTTAAAGTTTCAAATTTTGTATGATTTCTTCCATGAAATTACATGTGTTGTTGTGTTCCATTGATGAGCTCTCAATGTGGTGCCAAATTATTATTGTTGCCGATACTATTCTAGTACTTTTAGAAGGTATTTGGGAAGCGGATTTCACAAGGAGGTGGTTCTGGAATAGCGAGGAAAGGTTACTTTGTTTGGTGAATGTTGGCCTTTAAAAGAGAAGTATAAAACAAAGTTATGTGTTTCTGAGATGTGAATGCTTTGGTGGATGAGTGGCATGACACTTAGAGACAAAATTCAAAACAAATCTATCTGTGAAAGGGTTGGTGTAACTTCACAAGATTAGATTGTCATCTTAGATGGTTTTGTCAAACTAACTATCAACCATCAGATGATTCAGTTAGGAGAGTAGATGTTTTAGATTCGACTTATGTTAAGAAAGGTAGAGGTAGACCTAGAAAAAGACTTGGGCATATTGTATAAAAAATGATCTTAATCTATTAGAATTAAATGAAAATATAATAATCAGTGGGACTTAATGGAGAAAAAGTTTTCATGCAGCAGATCCCACTTAGTAGGATAAAGGCTTACCGTTGTCGTCGTTGTTTTTTGTTGACGACGTAAGGAAGGGATTGCACTGTTAAATCTAATATTGGAAAGCAGGTTCGACATCACCGGCGGTTGTTCTGGCTGAAACTAGCAAGTTGGACGACAAAACGGCGTGATTCGAGAGGCGTTGAGGTTCCATTACCTATTCCTAAGCAAGATACAAACATCACTTGCAAAAGAAAATGATACTCCAAAGAGCATAAAATAGAGAATGTCTCCTAATACCACAACAATAACCAAAAGTTTCCTCCCAAGCAACAAAAGAAACTCATAAATTCATTTGTAATGGAAATAACCTAATTAGAAATAATAAAATAGAAAAAAAGGCGAAAGAAAGAAAATGAAGTATGGTTGAATCTAATAACTAAGCCGTAAAATCAAGAATTGCAATCACAAGAAGCTTCAGTTTCACTGCAATAAGGAAATCTCACACTTGCGGGTCGTGGGATTTCATTTTGTGGCTTTTGTTATGCTCTTGCGTCATTCATCTTAGTTAGGAGAGGTTTCTTCTCTAGAAGGACCTGAATTCCATTATCGGGTTTACATCCCACAAAACACTTGCAGAGCTCTTCCAACTAGTAATTCACCACTGCTATCTTGCCAGCTGGCTATGAGTACGCTGCACAACTAAATTAGAATTTAGTACTCAACTTATTCTATAGAATCTTCTCAAAACTGCTCAAAAAATTCTTTTTTTATTGGAGGTGATCACATGTTGGATCTCTCTCAGCAATGATAGCCTAGGAGAGAGATTGTAGGTCAGAAAATCACGAAATTGACTAATCTGGGGTTGCCCTATGTGTGATTTATGCTCCTCGAACGCATAGCCCTCTTGGACAATTAATGCTAGTTTTGCTGATGCTTCTCTTAGTGCCAACAAAGGTAGTTTGTGGTGCTACATCTTTATATTTTGTATAAATTTTCCTTCTAAGACAACCAATGATAATCCTGTTGGAGTCTCTCACGGGCTCATCTTGAACCTCTAGCATCTCTCCCTTGTCGTCTAGAAGCTGGTATTCCTCTCCTTTCTCTTCCTCTGAATCTTCACCCTCTCCGATGCACTATCCACTTCTTCAACTACTCCCTGCTCAATGAAAGACGCCACTCTCCTTTTTAGGAAATCTTTCCAAAATCATGACACTTGAAGCTCTCCTCGACCGAGATAGATCTAGGAGTATTAATTGTCTCCACTTCATCTCCTCTCTGAACAGCTTTTTCTCGGCTGGGGTAGACTGCGATACTGACTGAGTATACTCTTGTTACCCGATCCTAGGGTTAAACTTTGCCTTTAAGGTGTGGTAGTTACCTGGTGATGTTGTTTCTCCACCTTTAATGTTATTGCCTATACATCAAGGACTAATACAACTACAGTTGTACCCCATCCGTAATAGGCGACCTCAGTCCTCCAACGCACCTTACTATTGTGTGCCTCTCTCGTTCCACCAACTCATTTTTTAGCATGAGTTGATCAAATTAATTTGTGTGCACCTCCATGAAGAATCTCTCTTGCGTATCTGGTGGAGTTTTATGAACATATCATATCGATAATGTGAGGGAATTTTTTGTGTTGCATCTTCTTTTTCATCTTAGAACATGTGATGATCTACTATTCCCTTCCTGATGTTGAAGGCATTTCAAATTCTCCCACCACAGAGATGCACTCTTCTTTAATTTAGTGGGAGCTAGCTTGAATCTTATGTCCAGTGGAACGTCTTTATACTCAAAGATTTGTTCTACTTCTTGGAGCCGCTCGTTGAATTCGTAAATTCATCTTTACTCCAAGATCTTGACTTCTCTTATATTCCATATGCCTGATTGTTGGAGTAATGGTTCTTGATCACTGAAAACTTCCTGATTGAAGGCATTCACTTTTTCCTTTACTCTGGAGTGTCATCGTTGGGGTTATGAGTGATCTCTTCGGATTGCCTTCTCAAACCTCTGTTATAGTTGGAGGATTTTCTATTGCATAACCTCCATAGGAATTTCCATGACAGCTCTAAAACAGTTTCTATTTGGTGGCATGACATCCTCCTTTTCCAATCAAGTTTTTGATAGGTTTAGGATTGAAAATCAAAGATTGGTTGAAGTTTAAGGTTATAGTGGCAGGTGTCGGGATGGATTTTTGATGAAGGTAGAAAAGTTGGATTTTGAACTTTGGGATTAGGGTTTGGAATTGTGGTAATAATAAATTGGGTATGTTTGAGGTTTCTTTTTATGAATTTTGGATTTAGGGTAGAAAAAACGAATCCATAAAAATTTAGGATTTGCCAGGCTTTGATACCCAATGACATGGTTTTAGGGCTCCTTGAAGGCATTTGGGAAGCGGATTTCATAGGGAGATCGTTGTCGATTATTGAGGAAAGTCTAGTATGTGTGTTTGATGGTATTTGGAAGGGATTGTGGGGATAAATCTGCTGTTGGACAGCAGGTTCGACGTCGTCGTCAGCTGCCTTGGCTGAAATCAACAAGTTGGACGACGAAACAATGTGTTAGAGTTTCCACCACATGTTACCGAGCAATAGACAAACACATCACTTGAAAATGGAAATGATATAACACTCCGAAGAGCATAAACATATAATTACGTCTCCCAAAACAATAACAAAAAGTCTCCTTCAAAATATCAAAAGAAATGCATAAATAGGTTTCAATAGAATATACTCTAAATAGAAATAAAAAACAGGACAAATATGAAATAGGAAAATAAATTATGGCTGAATCTGATAATTTGACAAAATAATGAAGATCCGGATTGCGGGAAGCTTCAGTTTTGCAGCCATAAGGGAATCCCGCAATTGCAGATGGCTTCTGTTACGCTACTGCGTCAGCTGCAGTTGATTCTGTGTGTAATCATTCATGAAGTTTTTTATGCTTTCTACCATGACAACTCATGTATTGTGGCATGTACAGGCGCGGGAGCGCACACACACAGTTCGTAATCATTTATCAAGATGATGATGATAATAAATTGTGTGCTTGCCCGTGCATATATATATATATATATATATATACAAGAAAGGATAGGTCGTATGAACAACTATTCTTTTATTTTGATAGTCATTCATTCATAAATTGGATTTAATTTTATAATTCAACCATGATAATGGTGATTATGAGGGGTTCATTGATAAGTAGAACTAAGTCTGTCCATGGTAATTGATGATGATAAAATGAATATCCCTAGACTATTGAACCATTCATTTTTGTCCAATATTACTTTAGTGTCCAATTTAATGCTCTACTTACCGAATCATAATATTATATGGTTATCTTGCTTCAACTTTTTTGAATGTTATGGTTCACAAGTCTATTTTTGAGGGTATTATTGACCTTTGAAATTGAGAAATGCCTTTGAGATCCTCTAATGTGACAGATACTCTATAGTATTGGGTGATTTGGTAAGTTTTTATAAGAGTGCTAAGGTTCCACTAGAAATGGTGATCAAGTCGAGGAATAGTGGTGAGAGTCGATGACCTTATATGGTGATGAGAGAGCTAATGAACAGTGTCAACACTAATATCAATTGATCCTTGTTGACCTCATTTTTAGTGAGGTCTAGTCTTCCTCTTAGGGTTTAGGATCTAGCCTTAGGGACCTCCCTTGACTATCTTAGAACCTTAGAAGTAGTGCCCGCCTCGTTTTTAGTTCGACCTATTTCCGTCCTCTTTTGGAGTTTCGTGTGTGCGGTATCGACTTCTAACACTTAGAAGGATGAAACCGACATGAGGAAACCCAAAATGGATTCCTATAGGACCTTCCCGAGCCTTAGGGTGACCTTCTGCACAATTCGC